GCACAATACTATCTGTAATTCTTCAAATGTAAGATGTGCATTACTAACGACTCGATGTAAGTGCTTCTTCACTGATTTAATCGCGGTCTCAAAATCCACCGAAATGTGGAGCATTAGGAGGAATGAACTGCCAAGATATTTTTAAAAATTATCGCGTAAAAATTATTTTATTCTTTCTTGGGTTTGTTTTGTTTTAAGAAAGTCATTGTAGAATTTTGCTAATTGACGCGATGCACCAATGAACGTAGTTTCATTGTCTGAGTATATGGAGATCGGTATTCTCCCGCGTGATATGAAACATTTTAATGATGCTAGAAATGACTCAGCCGTTAAATCGCTGACTAATTCAATATATATCCCCTTGGTTGCCAAACATATAAATATACATATGTATGCCTTGTGATTACGCGAATTACGTCGCTTACTCTCGTGACGGGACCTGCATAGTCCTGTTATGTCTGAACTTCACGAATTCTTCTCTTTCGGAGAAAAATAACGGTTGCTAATCGACAAACAAAAATGCTTCAAACTAGAAAATGCTTCAAATCTAGAAAAACTTTCTTTTTTATTACCGAAAACGCAAGACTCTGAAAAAATGCACAGAATTCCTCTCGAGACACGTCCTGTCATCAAATCGTTTGGAAACAACAATTTTTTGTGGACAACAGTCTCGCCGGCGCCAAAAGATTTATAGCACCCATAGATTTAGGATTTATAGCATTCATTAATAAAATTGGAAATACTAACAAAATCGAAATTCCTGACGCATGAGAAATGCATCGAGATCGTTCAAGGCCAAAACTGGAGGGGAGACTAAAAAAACGCCAATCAGGAGAAAGCAGCCGTTGGTGAATATACCAATAGATAATTAAGGATGTGGAACGATGGATGAAATTTTCATAAACTAAATAATTTCGTCATTCGCCGGGAAAACCGGAAACATAAAAACAATCACGATCCACTGAATGCCGCTCCCCTCCTTTTCTACACTCCCCTACACTTCCCTACACCCTACACTTCCCTACACGTGATTTTTCCGAACTCATGATTTTTTCGAACTATCATTTAAAAATTAACATAGAGATCCATCACGCCCTCAGATCTTTCTCACTCTTCCAGAACCCTACATAAACCTCGATTTAGAGCAGATCTTTCTCTTCTTTTTCTTACCTTCCCGAGGAGAGCATCATCTGGAGCAGTCGACGAAACCTCTTTTTAACAGTATTAGAGTCTGTGCGCGATCTAAAAATCTCGTTGTGAATCTCCAGCAAGGGATCCCACCAACCAACAGTTTCACAGCCTACGACTTGTGCCCCGCAACAACAAAAGTAAGTTTCGTCGTAATCATTTTCTTTCCGCGTTTGGTTCTTTCCCGTTTGGTTCGCATTTTCTAACTTTTTTCCTTTCTTAAATCATCCTCACACTCCAGCTGCGAATCCATAGGATTCGCATGCCGTTGATATTTTCGGTGAAAATTCATTTCCTAATTCCAACTACTGCTCCATTAAAATTGGCAAGCCGCCGATTAATTCGGTGAAGCTGCCTTGCCCGACTCCTTAATATTTTTACCTCGTTGAAAACCCTCTCTCTAATTCTATTTTAGATTTTGATAGTGGACCAAACGATAATATCTGCCAACACCGCAAAAAACCGAACAAACGGGAGTTAAGACATCTTCGGGAGAAGCAAAATAAGCTCGTCACGAAAATGAACGCGCCGTCCAGCTTACGGAACACCTAATTGAGGTGGAACTTAAGCTCGCAACCCTAACGTTAGAAGACTACCACCGCTCTCCGCTCCGCGGCAGAATTCGAGTGCAGTGTACTTCAAAAAATTTTGATTTGGAAAAATTCTACAACCTTGTTCGACAATTCCCTCAATCCCCCGTACCTCCGGGACTCTTTTACGTAAAATGCCGGTTTAAACCTACACCCAAATTTTGGGAGGAAATCTCTAAACGCCAATCCCATCACGCTATCCCTATGTACATTTCTCATGACCCTCTTCCTTATCTTGTACCCGCTAAATGCTTCTCCAGAGCGCATCCTAATTCTCTGCCACATCTTGCGCCCGATCCTATCGATATGTTCGCCCTATCGATGTTAATATCATAACGAAATTCCTATCTCATCTCGAATAGAAATCTTGTAAATCGCGAAGTCACGATTATGTATCGTAAAATTTTCACGTATTTAATAGCATCTACGCTTTTGTACCGCTTTTGTAATTTAGATCCATGTCATTCTGTTTTCTTAATCTTGAATAATTAGTATTGTTATTGATGTGAATGTAAACTTAAGCTCCGTTTATGTATTTCTTTTCTTTCTTTTACTTATTAAATTATTGTTAAATTGAGTTACGTTTAAATTATTTAAACCTCGTCAATTCCCAGCCTCGAAGATCGCACGAGGTCTTATCCCAGGTTAAAAAGATTCGGTTCTCTGACCAAAAGCGGATCACCGACTTCTCTAGCGTAAGGTGTTATAGCGACGTTGACCCCTGTGTAAAAGGTGCGTTCAACATCTCAACGACCTGAGAAAATAGAAAGTAGTTCCTTACGTCTACCCGAATTCTTTCTCTTGATCTAATTTCTCTTCTTTCGAAGCTCGGACGTAACAGTCCACACCATAATATGAAAATGGACGTGATGGTGTTACTTTCGGAGACGGCAAAACTCTCATTTCTGCTTTTGATGTTACCGGTTTCTGATATTATGTTTAAAACAAATGATACAATTTTGAATAATCCTTCGAGTGATTGAACAGAGGCCGAAAATTCTGCCTAACTGTGGCTATGGTACCCTGCAATCCTGCGTTCAGGCTTCTCTTTCTATAATCAACTGTGTGAGTCTATGATTTTTTGGAAGTAGAATTGGATGCCGTGCATCATATAACAACCGAGAATGTTTCAATCTCCCCCAACACGAACTAAACCACAGTCCATAAACGGCAACAATGAAATGAGCAAACTTGAAGAAGTAAAAGCGCTTCTCCCTTCCAAAGGCTTATACTCATTAGGAAATATTTCCTTTTGCATTGTTCGGCGTAAAATGGTCAATGCCTCCGTAATCTCTCCATGTGACACAAAGAAATCTGATTTCGTCAATGACTTACGAAATCTTAAATAAGCCAAGATTCAACAGATTCTACTTAAATTTGAAAATTTATAAAGTAGTTCTGGAATTACATGTAGCAGTCATGATTATCTTTCGTAATTCTGGTAGGGCAAGTTCTGACCGAAGTAGCCATGTGTTTGGCAAATATTCTTTGTTTTTAAAAAATTCGGTCCATGCCACCACAACGAAGAATCAATTAACTCACGTGGACTTATATCACAAGACAACAAATCTGTCGGATTCTCAGCTGACGGAACTTGACGCCAAACTGCGCCATTCGTCAATTTTTGTATTTTGCCAATGCGATTCGCAATTCGAAAATAGCCCATTTCCTTAAACATGATGAAATCCATGTCAACACAATGGTAGACTCTAATCACAACACAGTTTCATTCGCCGTTAATTCAAAAGATAAATTTACTTTTCCGAGCAATTGTGTTAACAATAATGCCACACAAAGTTCCAAGGAAGAGAAATAGTTTTTAATGGTGCGACTCTACTTTTTGAACATAATAAATTGCTATGAAATCCTTCATCTGCGACTCTATATCGAATATAAATACACGCACCAAAAACACTTGACTGGCATCACAAAATCTATGCACTTGAATATCCTTGAAGTCGCTATAAGACTTGACGCAACGTGGTATGATTAAATTGTTTAAATCATACAACTGACTTCTTAATATAGATCATTTTAAATGTTTAACGGAACTGATTCATCCCAGTGAATTATTAGCTGCCAAATTTCTTGCATTAATAATTTTAGAGTAATAATTACTGGCTTCAGCAAGCCCATTGGATCGAATAATTTTGCAATGTGTGATAAAATCGTATGTTTAATAGTTCGAACCGTAGATAGTTCTAATTCAATAATAAAATTGAAGGTATCGGTAGATGGATTCCAAAGAACGCCGAGAATTCGTGAAGTAGCGTCATTATCGATTTTTAAGCCCGTGTTCTTATGTGTTCGTGCACATGATTTAATATATTAGATATACAAAAAAGTTCTGAGCTTTTTTTTGTAAAATTTAATCTTTATTCAAAAACAAACAAAAAAATATTAATCAGCGAAAGATTCGTCGTTTCATCAACGATCTTTTGCCATCTTTCTGTAGCTTGCGAATTCCTTGACGATAGAAGCTCACCAGCTTCGAAGCGATAAAGTCATCAATGCATTTTCGTATCTCTTCAAATCTCACGAAATGTGTGCCAAATCAGCCAAATGATGCTGCAGCGACCGGAATAGGTAGTAATCGGAAGGCGCCATGTCTGGACTATACGCCGTGTGCGGGAGGAGTTCCCAGCCTAACGCAAAGATATGGTCCTGAGTCGCTTTCGCAACATGTGGTCGAGCATTATCATGAAGCAAGATCACTTTACGTCTTTGGCCAGTAAGTGACCTCTTTTCTTCTAATGCATCGCTCAAATTGGTCAATTGTTGTTGGTAGCGGTCTGCCGTTATTTCACCTGATTGTAACGAGACATCGTTACAATACAACACATCTTTCTAATCCCACCAGATACAGAGCAAAATCTTCTTGGCATGGATATTGGGCTTTGGCGTCGATATCGAAGGTTGACCAGGGTCAACCCATGATTTTCTATGTTTAGGGTTATCATAAAGAATCCACTTTTCATCGCCTGTAATGATTTTGTGCAGAAAATCTTTTTTCCGGAACTTTGAAAGCAAAGTGAGTGCAGTGTCACGCCGACGATTTTTGTTGTCTTCGGACAATTTATGCGGAACCCATCTGCCTTCCTTCTGAACCTTTCCCATCGTATGTAAACGTACGGAAATGGTTTGCTGTGTAACGCCAAGCTGTTCTGCAAGCTCCTTTTCAGTTTACGCAGAGTTTATATCCAGCAGTGCTTGCAATTCGTCCGTTTCAATCTTTTGAGGGCGTCCAGTACGCGGTTCATCTTCGAGACTGAAATCTCCTTGGCGAAATTTTTGATACCATCTTTTACATGTAGTATGACTTACAGCGTTCTCTCCATATGCAGCACAAATCATTACAGTGGCTTCAGCAGCATTTTTCTTCAGATGAAACGCGAAGTGGATGGAAAATCGAATATGCTCTTTTGTTGTATTGTCATCGTGAACACTACTGATTTTTGAGGTTATGTGCATCAAATGTCACGCCGTATGGCATTTTAGAAGGCCAAATGTCAACGCTTTAAAACCGCAAAACGACGGGAAGATATATAAATTTAAATTGTTATTTCGGTTGTATGAAATCTAAAGCTTAGAACTTTTTTGTACACCTAATATTAATATTATTTGCTGACCATTTGCTCAATTGAAATGAATCCTGACTTAAAAATTGATGATTTTGTTGCGTATTTTTATTATCATATCTAATGTATCTGCATCTGTCAGGATGTCGTCAACATAAAAATCGCGATGCCTGGCACCAATAGGATACTCCCTTTCATATAACTCAGCCAATTTACTTAAGTGTAGATGCATAAATAACCGTGGATAGTTCATATGTCTGGATATCAAGATGGATTGTTTCGTCAAAGAATGCGTTGTAATTGCGTATGTTCCATTGAGGATCTACCAATATCTTAACAATAGTCCGCAGTGAAAATGAATCTAAACATTCTAAATCGCAACAGAATTGAAATCAAGTTCTGTTGCACTGTCGGACCTATCATCAAAATGTCATTAAGTGATACACCTGTTGAGCTTTTACACTATCCATCAAAGACAACATGCAATTTGATTGTCTCATTTGCGGGCCTTAAAATGCAATGATGAGGCAAATAAAAGGTAATGCAGGTAATTCTTCGTTATTCTTGCTCTCAGAATTTAATAACGTCATATGACCAAGCGATAGATTTATTGGTAAGCATAAATTGATTGTATTATAATTTTAAACTTGAATCACGAATCAATCTTTTTTCTACATTATAAAAACAACGTAAAGCTATGCTGCGTGAATCGCTGAGCATACTCAATTTATCTTCTCTAATAGGAAGCCTTACTATGATTCGTCCATCTGAATTTCGTGCTACGTTATTAATAAAATGTGCCTCACAAATTTGTTCATCGATAGAATACGAATCGCATGTACACGAAAATTCTTTTAGCGTATCCATTGGCGCGCCGCGAAAGTCCTCGGTTGCCTCCAATGTTTGGCATCAATGATTAAAAAATCTAACAATTGAGTAAACGTAGGCAATACTCTGTCTGTTGGAGAATTTTATCACTCTCGCGATGTCACGGTGTCTAGTTTCGATACGAGCAAATAAATGATTATATCGTCCAATGTATCAGTAGGACGTTGTAAAGCTTTTAATACGCGCATATACTTTATCGCTCCGTCTGCGATTCGACGCAACTCATTCGCGTTTTCTTGCAAAACATTCGAACAAGGCTCGCAAATGCGTCTGTACAACTATGCGCTTATTATCGTACCACTGTAACAAAGTCCATGCTATTTCATAATTTTGATTTGATAATTCTAACGACTGAATCACGTCAGAAGCATCGCCTGTGATGGACGATTTTAAATATTGAAACTTTTGAATATTAGTTAAATTATGATTATCGTTTATTACCGCGTTGAACATATCAAAAAAGGAAAAAAAAGGAAATTTTCTCAAAAATCTTAGCAAATTCAATTTAGGCAAATGTATATGACAATTGGAATCGCTCCAGCCACAGAAAAGATAGACGACATAGTTGACGTTGTATTAACCGGAGACGCATTGCAAACTATGCCTTAATTTGGCTATTAAACTAAAATACATTTCTTTAAATGAAATACGATCATCTGTTTCTCCGTCACAAAGCGTCTCCAACTCAGACTACGCTCGATCGTAATCAACCAATAAAGTGATAACTTTTTCTTATGTTCTTCTATACTTGCAATTATTTCATCCGATAGCTCCGTCATCGAATCAACGTAATTCTTCATACATGTGCATGTTGATTTTATCATAGTGCGTTTTTTCTTTAATATAACAATCTGTGCAGCTTGCGCTTGTGCAGTTTGCGTCTGTGCTTCTCGAACCATTGCGAATTATAAATTATTAGTGATGCAATGACTAGGTACTTTCCTGCTACGATGCGTCGACTGAATGAATTCGTCCGATTTAAATCCGAACCTTGATGAGCTTCTCAAGATTGTTCTCGAATTGTGAAGTATTTTGGAGCTGACCTTACTTTCAACAGTCGTCCTCGTTTGAATTTAGAATGACCTTTGAATTATAGAATTCGGTTGTCGCCTGAGGTTGGTTGCACACAGGACGCAGCAAAGCGGCAACGCGTAGCCAATCACCGTCTTATTTCTGTATATGTACGTAAGTTTTATATTCAGTAAACAAAACGGTGATCAGCTACGTTTACCGCATTGCCGCATTGCCGCTTTGCCGCGTCCTGTGTGCAACCAACCTCAGGCGACAACCGAATTCTATAATTCAAAGGTCATTCTAAATTCAAACGAGGACGACTGTTGAAAGTAAGGTCAGCTCCAAAATACTTCACAATTCGAGAACAATCTTGAGAAGCTCATCAAGGTTCGGATTTAAATCGGACGAATTCATTCAGTCGACGCATCGTAGCAGGAAAGTACCTAGTCATTGCATCACTAATAATTTATAATTAGCCTGACGATTCGCTAGCGGTTCTTTGAGATATGCAAATGACAAATCTACTTGCTGAATCCATCATACTTTGGAAGATGGAATGCAAAAAGGAAGCTAAAGGATATAAAAGATTATTTATAGAGGAGACTATTATTTATTCATAACGGAAAACCTGATTTGTGGATTTTTGATAGAAGTAGAACTTCTCCTCCCCTCCCCACTTTAACATTACATTACTTCTTAATCATGTTACTTAGTAGTTTTTATTTTGTGCAAGGTCGAGTCTTATTTTTTTGTAGAGTTCCGTAACTGATATATAATTTGACGATATTATATTGTCTTTTCCGACTTTTTTAACTTATAACTTGGCGATCTCCAAGGTAATGTAATTATTTTTCACAATTTTGGTCATCTTTATTATCACATCTTTTCTTATTTTTTATATGTTATTACCATTCTTTTTCAATTATTTTCTTGATGTTGGTCAACGTTTACTAGTCATTATTGTTTATTTGATTATTCAGGGCCAACAATCAATTCTTAATTGTGACTTCGCATTGTATTACAATATAGTATCCTTTGTTTAAAGATATGTCACGATGCTGTTGCACAGGGTTTTTGACGCAATATCTACTTTAGCGTCAATTTACTGTATCACGAAGCAGAATTTTGGTTTCTCGACTCTTATTTTATCGATGACTGCGCCAAATAATGTGTAATTTATGTCCGCACGCAATTTTAATTTGTAACTATGATTTTTAATTTTTTACAATTTTTACCAACGGAATATATCTAATCCGTGAAATTTCCTTATATATTGACGTGTATTGTTAAGATCATTTTGTTTATTCAATTCTTGTTTTCGATTAATTTCAATTTTTATCACACTGAGAATGACCTAATATAAGGTCGGAACGACGTATGTTTTATTAGCTATGTGTTGGAGATCGCTGGGAACAAGGACCAGAATTGCTTCGCCTTTTTACTCAACATGTCTCAACTTTATTATTATGCTCTCACTGTACAACTGTCTCTCTCATTTCTCGCTACACACCTTCTAGGCCCTCTGTTCGATTCGAGTGCGATCAATCTCGATTTCCGTGCCCTCGGTCGATAATAGATGTAACCCAATTGATACCCAACATCTCCCCCTTTTACATTATAAATACGAATAGGGTTTTGGCATTAGAATCGAGATTTAAATGTCGGGGTTGAGCCCGTTCACGGCATGATCGTCGTGGTGTTTCGTGGGTTTGTGTAGTACGGGCTAGTTCTTGAATTATTACTCTAGTTTTGAATTATCTAATGAATTATCAGGCTAGTGTTGAATTATTATCCTGCCCCTATTGGATTGGTATTTTCTGCTTCCACTGCATTCTCTTCGGTTACCCTCATTCCTTGACTCTCTTTCTGGTTGACTCTTCCGTAATGGTGAATTTTTCAGTGATAATATGTAGTTAGTCACCCTCTTTTGCCAGTAGTTCGTTCCCTCCTTTCTATACATGGTTTATGTATTTTCGCACCATCTGACCATTCGAGATTTATACCTTTACGATGTTCTTTGAGATCCAACAGTTTAATGTACCTAGCTCGAGTTATCTCCTTTGAGATTTATGTCACATTGTCGCCTATTTTTAAACTTCTTTTACGTGCTCCATGATGGCGATTGAATTGTTGCTCCATCTTCTCTTTGTTTACCTTTGTTAATGATATGGGTTCTGTATTCGTTGGCAATAATGCGGTCAGTGGTGACCTTCCCAAGAACAACTCTGCGGGTGATTTCCCTTCTGGATTGTTTAATATGTATCGATGACTATATAAAAAGTGCAACTGCGTTCGCCAGCGTGCTCCGCCTCTCTTAATCGCTCGTTTTACCGAGTCCATAGTCCGCTCGGCTCGTCCGTTCAATTGGGGATGTCCAACAGGAGAAAATAGGTACGTTATATTTATTTCCCTACACAAATTAGAAAAACAATTAGTGATAAATTGTGTGCCATTATCGCTTATCAGTATTTCTGGCGGACCGTAACGTGAGAACATTTCTCGGCAAATCTCTGCCATTCGTTCGGCTGAAATGATCGGTGTGATTGCGACATCGATGAATTTGGAGAATGAATCTACAAAAATTAAAATGTAGAGATTGTTTTTCGGCTCCGCATAGTCTATGTAAACCCGTTCTCCTGGCCGACTTGCCATGGGCCACGGACTGAGCGATGCTTTGATGGGTAATTTCTGCGTCAGTGCACAAGGATTACACCTTTGTATATATCCTTCGATTTCCTTCATCATTCCAGACTAATATACAAACTCCCGAATTAACTATTTTGTCCGTCGCATACCCGGGTGTCCGCGATGTAGAGTCTTCAAAATTTCCTTTCTCATCGTTTTCGGGATAACAATTCTGTCTTTAAACATTAACATATCGTCTACAATGCTCAATCTGTTGTGACATTTACTAAAGCTTAAGGAGATATGCTTCTCTTCTATCTTTTTTCTCCCGATTGTAAACTTCCATGATGGCTTTCAGTTCTGAATCGTTCTGAGTTTCACTCTTTAATCTCTATCAAAGTTTATAACCGAATTTTTGTGTAATCAATTCTTTCAGCTGATTCACTTCTAATTCTGTAGTCCTAATACAAGCAACTTTTAATTTTTCAGCGTTGTCCTCACGAAATTTATTTATTAATCGCAATAATACATCTGCTTCACCGAAATCCTTAGTACATACGTATTCAATTTCAAAATCATATCCTAACAATCAAATTGCTCATCGTTTAAATCAGGCCGCTGTCATCGGTTGGAATCCCTTACTGTTGTCTGTGCGTAACAGAGCCAAAAGTGGTTTGTGATCTGTTCGAAGTATGAATTTGCGACCCCAGATAAACTTATAAAATTTTTCTACTGCTGTTACCAATACTAAAGCCCTTTTCCAACTGCGAGTAATTCCTTTGCGTGTCAGTTAAGCTTTGAGTCATGTGATATATTGCTTTTTCTTGGCCTTTGCTGTCTTTCTGTAATAGTACTCCTCCGATGCTCGTTGCACTAGCGTCTGCTGCAACAATAAAAGTTTTTTTGGAACGTAATGTTCTAATAACATTAGACTCAGCATGATCTTTTTAATTTTCTGTATAGCTTTAGTTTTTGTCTGTGCTCCCAATTCCAGAGAGTGTTCTTCCTAGTTCTTTTAAAATTCTTCTAAAGATTCTTTAAGGTTATGTAAGTGTGATACAAACTTACCATATCAAATAGACTTTTTACTTCAACTACATTTTGAGGTGCAGGCATTTTAACGATTGCTTTGGTGTGTTCACTATTTATTCGGATTCCTTCGTTATTCACAATGACTCCTAAGAACTTGATTTCGCTTCTTCTAAAGCATTTTGACAGATTTAAACGAAATCCTCCTGTTTGTAGACGTCTAAGAGTCTCCTCTAGCTATTGATCATGTTCCTCGCACGTTCCTCCCGCCACTAGGATGTCATCTAGGTACGCCAGGCTTCCGTTAATGCCCGCTAAAGTCTGGTCCATTACTTACTGAAAAATTGCTAGCGCTGTTTTGATTTCAAATGATAAGCGTTTATGTCGAAATCCCTTGGGTATCGTAATGATCGTCACCGTTTCGATCTTCTTCCGCTACTGCAATTTGGAGGTACGCATTTTTCAAATCCAATTGGCTGAAGAAACGGTTTCCGTTTAGTATAGAAAATACGTTTTTCACATTTGGCAAAGATTATTATCGATTAGAGCCTTGTTTAGTCCTGTTGAATAGTCCGCACATAATCGAATTCCACTATTTGGTTTTTTTACGATCACAATTGGCGTTGACCAATCTGTTAACTCTCTTGGTTCAAGGACATCAGCTGCTACTAATTGATTAATTTCCTCTTTTAACGGTTGGAGTATTGCATAGGGCACGGGTCTACATGGCACAGGTTTCGCATCCTGAGCCAATTTGAGATGTGCTTCAAAGTTTTTGCACTGTGCTAGATCATCGGAAAATAATTCTGAAAATTTCTCTTTCAGTCTTCCATAATCCAAAAGCTTGGTGTGGTCGTTACTCTTCTCACATTTCAATACCTTGACTACATCTCGTTTTGTAGGTAGCTTTGACTGCTTCCGATTGTCTATGGATCAATAATATCTTCTATAAGTTTAATGCATCCATTGTGTTGAGATCTAAAAGATTAATTTCATTTCGAGTAGTGACATGAATTTCCGCCTTATCCTTGCGACCTTGGAATTCCACGGTTCCTGTGAAATAATCAATCATACTGAAATCTCTACTGCCTGCGTGTTGAACAGTCTCACTCTTACATAATTTGAGTTTTCCTAGGTTACTACATTGCTGCTTCCCAATTATTGTGATATCTGATCCTGTGTCATGTTGAAGTCACTGGATTGCCGTTTATTGACGTTTATGACCTGCACGTAAATGCGTCTTTTTCTCTGTATGCTAGAAAGTGTTTTAATAGCCAAAAGATTATTTTGTAGGTTAGGTTTCCATTTGGGCACGGACCGGCAAACCTTTGCTAAGTACCCTTTCTTTTTACATTTGTTGCAGATACGAATACAGTCTAGATAGGAACATTTCTGTACGAAGATGTGCATTTCCACAGTCGTTACATCTTACTGTATGTTTATGTGCAGAAAAATTTACGCTGTCTTTTGCATGTTTCTGACTAGGTTGTTGAGATTTCATGTAAATCGCGTTTACGAGGTCTACTGTATTTGTTGGATCTTCGAGAGTTTTTAAGCTACTGCACAAGTGTGCCTTGAGTTCGTTTGCGACATCGATTAATGTTAGCGTTTCTTTCTATCGTTCGCAAGCTCCTTTTTAGATTTTCATTATCGCTAGAGTAACAGAGTGATTGCAATAGTAACAGAATCCTAATATCCGTTAAGCTAGCTCGATCAAATTCTGTGCTGCTTTATACGATCGATATGTTCGTGAATTAGTAGATTCTTGTCGTACCGAAAATTTAGAATTTCTATTTGACGCCGCGTATTGGTTTCTCGTCATCGTACAGTTTTTTTAATTTCTCGATTACCTCGATCTGCCTCATTTAGCCAGATCCCTCGGTACATGATTCGAAAATCGATTGAACTCTATTTGTTTCAGCTTCCCAATAATTAATCGTATTTTCATTTCTTTTAGAAGCTTCTCTGCTTTCTTGGTTAATATATATTCGTGTCTTTTTAAGCACTTGTGGAATGGTTTTGTTCCCTCCACTGTCTTGTATGTGTATTTCTCAATGCGAGAATTTAACTGAAAAATTTCCGTTTCCGACAGAACCTGCTTTACTTCCGCCATTGTTTCTGTATTTCTTTGTTGGACCTGTAACTGCAACAGATTCGTGATTGCGTCCGTTAACTCGTGACTGCGTTCGTTACTGCTTGAGTTGCTGCGCTGTATCCATTTCATATTATAATGTTTTCTACTATTTGAGTTTGGTTCGTCCTATCGCGCCAATATGTTAAGAATCGCTGGGGATGAGGACAAGAATTGCTTCGCCTTTTTACTCAGCATGTCTCAATGCTCTCACTGTATAACTGTCTCTGCCTTATGCTCTCACTGTATAACTGTCTCTCTCATCTCTCGCTACACATCCTTTAGGCCCTCTGTCCGATTCAAGCGCGATAGATTTCAATTTCCACGTCCTCGGTCGATAATAGATGTAACTCGGTTGATATCCAATATATGTATGTATTTATTTTTCAATAATTATAAACACTATTTTTTGCAAACATACTGTATTCGCTTATATGCTCTTGATCATTTATTGTTAAAAAAAATATTTTTTATAGAGATATATGGATGTAAATTGCATTAATTTGAATATGAAATGCTGATTAAGATAAAAGAATATTAATTTGCTTTTCCATTTAAAACAGAATATTAATAAACAATTAATGTATATCAATAAACTAAATAACAAGTTTTAAAAAATAAAGAGGGCATTGACGACAAATCTTAGGTCAAATAATTCTTTTTATTGAATTTATATTTATAAATCCAAAACAATTACTTATGACAATTGCCATACAATCATTCAATACAATTGCTTGCTCGCCAACTACGCATCGTTACTTTTGAAAGATTTAAAACGCAGCAGTTTATATAAATTATAAAACTGTAGCGTTTTATAATTTATATAACTTTATGTATTTAATTTATATACAGGATGGTCCACGTAAAGTTACAAGTTAATAACTATAGAAATATTTGTTGCACTAAAAGATTATTCATTAGAAAATTTCATATATTCGAGGAAACTTTCTAACTATGTAAATAAAAATTAGCTCTATTTCTTCTTAGAAGGGGGAGAGAAATAACTTCATAACTTTAAGTGAAACCTCCTATAAATTGTCACATATTTGGATTCTACGGGAAAAACAAGTAAATTTTATCTGAAATATTTCTTTCAAAAATACTTCTCAAAAATTATAAACATTAAAACTTTAAAATGGAGAATATTTAAACTAATGGTAAAACCATAAATTAAATAAAAAACTTCATAAATTTTTTTGTTTTTTACTTTATTAAATATTTAAACTGTTTATTTTATTAAATTTTATTAAACTGTTGACTACTCACAATTAAACACTTATTAATTCTTTCTACAAAATTTTGCCTAACTTTACGAGGATCGTCTAAAAAGTTTTGAACCTCATGAAGATGGCATTACTTATCAAAACCATTCTGATATTACAATCGTACATGCTTTGAAAGATACCTGTGAAAATTGTAATCATTTTGGACGTTCAGTTATTATTTGATAATTATTCGTGCCAGTCAATGTCAGTGTTTTTGTAAAAATGGAACAAATCTAATATTATGCGTGATTAAATTCTTACATTTGAAAAGTAATACGCCTACGCAAATTAGAGCTGAGTTAGATACTGTTTACGGGGACTCTGCTCCATCATTTGCTACCGTGAAAAGATGGGCAGCTAAATTTAAACAGGTCGTACTAGCTTAGCTGATGATGAGCGTTTGGGACGGCCAATAACCGCGATCATTAGCGATAACATCGAAAAAGTTCACCAAATGGTACTGGACGACCGTCGAATCAAAGTTAGAGAGATAGCAAAGGCTGTAGGCATATCGAAAGAACATGTTTGTCATATATTGAAGAATTAAGCATGCGTAAGCTGACCGCGCGTTGGGTGCCGCGCTTGCTCACTGTGGATCAAAAATGTATTCGAATGAACATTTTCAAGGCCCTGTTGGAGCTATTTAACGAAACTAGTCGAATTTTTTGCGTTTTTCGATTAATAATCCTGTA